TTAGGAAAGTTGTAATAAAGGTGGTAACAAAAAGGCTTACCAAAGTATTTATAAAAAGAGAAATACTCAAAGGACCAAACTTCACAGGCCTTTTAGAAAACTTAACAGAACGACCAATACAAATTCTAAATATAATAATAGAGGAAACAAAAGAAAAAGATAAAGAAGTATGGATACTATTGCAAGACATGAAAAAGGCATTTGACTCAGTTTCTCTTGAAAGTCTTGAACTAGCATTGCAAAGAGTTAAAATACCCAAAAGAACAGTGAAATATATTTTAAAGCTGTTTTACAAAAGACAATTGAGAATAATTACAGCCTATGGCCTAACAGAAGAACTAATAGCAGGAGATGAAATAGACCAAGGTGAAGTAATCTCACTATTAATATGGCATCTCTTTTATAACTCATTACTAGAAAGAATCCAAGAAGATAAAAGTTTGAAGTATACAGTTGAGTAACAAGTACAAAAAGGTATGCAATGCAACAATATTACAAGATATCATCAAGCAGCAATTGCATATGCAGATAATACAACATAGATTGCAAACAGTAAAAAACAGCAATTAGAGATTCTAGAAATAGCTGAAGAGTTTTTTGAAATGAATGATATAGAGATAAACAGATCAAAATTAAAATTAATAATAATGAACACAAAAATCAGAAAAGAAAAAAGGACAGTAATATATGGGAAAAGTAAAATAATAGAAGAACCAAGACATAAAATAGTTTGCTTATTAGGAATATGGCTAAACAGCAGAATGCGAGAAGTACAAATAAAAAAGAAGGTAAAGAGAATAGTAAGCCAAACTATAAGAGATCTGAAGTACAAGAAAATGAAAATAAGCCAGATTGTATATATAAACAATATAGTAATAATATCCAAACTAAGCTATATATTACAGTTAATAAAGATGTTAGACAGAAGCCTAAATAAAATACATCAACCAATAATAAGTTTGGCTAAGCAAAAAAGCAGTTTACAAAGAACAGTAAAAACTGTATAATGAACTACAAAGATCTTGGTAGCTGTAGAACATTGTGACAAGAGTTAATTGCAAAGCAAATAAATGATCTTATTAAATAGACAAGACAATCTCAGAAGATTAACAAGACTAAGAATAACACAAAGCTGTCAAAGAGCAGGCTTAACAGAAGATATATAGAAGACAAAAAAGTGGCCAGAAATTGAAATGTATCTGAAGAATAATTTAGCATGTCTTACAATACTCAAAGCAAGAAAATTAAAAATAAATATTAGATCAGAAAGTGAACTATGATCAATGCTCAGGTATGATGCTAAAATACAAGAACTGGTAGATGCACAATTATGAAAAAAAGAAGCAGTCAGAGTAAATGAAACTGGTTTGATATATTTAAACCAATTACTTGACATGAGAGAAGAAAAACTAATTACATGGCAGCAACTTAAAAGTTATCAAGGCTAATCAAGTAAAGAGAAGAAAGCAGAATGGTTTAAAGCAATTGAGTCAAAAGTGCTCAGTAGCCCAGAGAACAGAGTAGTACAAAGCTACTTTAGAATGAATAAACAAAACACTCAGGCAATACAAGTCAAATGGGAGCATATATCAAAAGATAGAAGAAAAAAAAAATGATAATATATGGTATACAAAACTACAGACAGTTTGGAAAGATGGTCAAAAAGAAAAAGAAAAAAGTATTAATCAAATATTGGCAGATGAAATGCAAAGAGAATGAAGTAGCAACTGAGATTAACAGATGTGAAGGGTGTAAAAACAAAGAAGAACAGGTAGAAAATAGTTGCCAACAATGAATAAGATTAAACAAAAACATTTATATAATTTCTGATAGATTAATAAGTAAGAGCAGTAATAAGATTAAGATAGCTGTAGACCAAATAACAGATAAGACAGAAATAGACAAATCAAAAATAAATGAATGCAAACTAAAGGGTCTTATAACAATAGAAGAACTAGAGATAGAAATTATCAAATAACAAAAACTGAAAGAAAATATTAGTTAAGAAATAATAGAAATTCTAAAGAGAAACATTATGAGAAACAAGAGCAAATATATAATATATATTGATGGTGCAACCAATGAAAGAGATAATAAAGAGCCAATATCTAAAAATGATATAAGTATAAGATAGGTTTAAACAAATGAAATGCAAGAATGACCAGAAGAAGAGACAGCTTTTGGACTAGAAGGATGGCAAACATCGATAATAGCAAAGTTGGTAGTGATTTGGGTAGCAATTCTAATAATACCTAAAGAGAAACAAATAGAAATACATACAGATAGTAATGCTGCAATAAGAAAAATTAGTAGAAGTCTAGAACAAGTAGACAAAAACAAGATTATTAAGAAAAAGAATGCAATATAGATAATGAAGATTAAAGACCTCATCAAGACAAAAAATATTTAGATAGAGTTAGTTAAAGTTAAAGATCATAGTAAAAATAAATAGAATGATAGAGCTGATAGTTTAGCAAAAAAGAGAATGATAAGTAGGAAAATAGTATAGGCTAAAAGAGTCAGTTGTAAAGAAATAGAGTACTGCCTAGAGTGGAAAAACAGAAGAACTGATATATCAGCAAAACTGCTTTGCAAGTTAGTAACGAATACAAAATTAAGAGCAGAGTAGAAAAAAATAAGAGCAATTAAAAACTTAAAGTCAGAAACAGAAATTATAATTTATGATTGAACTTATTTTTGGAAAAGACTAAAGATGACCAAGAAAATATACTGCATAACAAGAAGAAGCAGCTCCAGAAGAAGTATGTTTATTAAATGCATAATAGATAAACTTTCGACATTAGAAGAATTTAACAAAAAAAGACCAGATATATACATAACAGTAGAATGCCAAGTATGTCAAGATAAAGTAAAAGAGACACAAGCATACTTGGCAATATGTAAAAGGCAAAGAAATCTTTGAAAAAGAATCCAAAAAGTAACTATTGTAACAGCATGGAAGAAGTTAAAGGAAAATGAAAAGATTTAGATTCCTCCATATATGTTATATATAGCATTTTTCGAAAAAACAGAGACAGAGAAAGTTAAAATAAGAGAAACATTAATAAAAGACTTAATTCTAAAAGAAATGCAAGACAAACTAGCAAAACTATTAAACACAAGATTAAGACAGCAGTTTGCAAAGACAGTAGCAATAACGGCCTAGGACACATTTTACAAACAAGTATAGAGAATACATTATAAAAAAATCATCAAATAAAAGGAAAAGAGTGAAATAACAGATAAAACTAAAAAAAAAAAAAGTGAAAATCTAAAAAGATCAAGAAAACAAAAAAAGACAAATCAAAAAGAAAGAGAAGAGAAAAAAGAAGAAATAAGAGAAAAAGGAAAGCAAGTTGAGAAGAAAGTAACAAAGACAATGTTAGGACTTGTCATAAAAGAGAGAAGACCCTTTTATTATGAACTTTAAGTAGTCAGACAAGCAGCTTACTTTTGTTCGAAGTAATGTGACAAGTTGCACTTAGATACCAATAAGGTGACCGAATGATGTTAGACTTAGATATTAGAGATATTTATGTAGTTACAAATATAATTTCAAAAACCTAATAAAGTACTAGCATAACTGCTTATAGGAAAAAAAAAAAATTTATATATCAAATTTAGATAAAAATATAAATATTATTATATAAAAATAATTTATATAATTCTACCTTTAATACTTTCTTCATATATCTAAAATTAGAAAACAATTAAATCAGAAGTCATAGAAATGCATCTGTGATTGGCTAATTGATGTCGATCCAACAGGTTATACGTACTAATTGGCCGGAGCGTAGCAAAGGACCCTAAGTGTTTACATCAAGTGATACAAAAATTACGTTTTTGATGCATTTTGATCACATAAAATTACTTTTTTGATGTATCTGCATAAACATTATGAAGATCTCATCAGAAATGTAATTTGGAAATTTTTTGTCCGCACGCGTGTTTAAATTTGTAATTTAGTGTAACAAAAATATGCATGCTTACGCGTTTATTATGTCATGTGCTCCGGACACACAATGCTATGTACGCATTATCCTAGTAATAGATCGTCATTGTACAATCTCACTTATTTATTAAACTTTGAAACCCCTAATGTAAATATTCGTAATGTAACCATAAATGGTAATAATGTTTATAAGAGTAATCACCTTGTGGATTGTGGATTCCACATCTTTTGATATAGATAAGCCCTCTTGAATCACGAGATACCAATTTTTGATATACATATATACACTAAGGTGAGAATTAGGTGAGGAAAATTTTACTCTCTAGGCTCATTTAATAAAAAAGAATTTGTTGGTTTAATTTCAGGGTACGTATAAGTCCGCAAATTCTCTAGCATTTGAAGGTTCTTCTCATGACATTTTAGGATGGTTTAAAATGAAATAAAAAAGAATCACGGTCATAAAATTAGTCAATTTTTACTGTTTGTTTATTAGTGATGTACCAGAACAGAGTGATGAAATCACTTTACAAAATCGATTACCCTATTGGTCAGCGTGATCATAGTTGTCACATCTTGTATATTCTTCACCCACTATTAATTCACGACCCATCTTGTCAAGCCACTGCTAAAACGAACACCCGCTGTTAAAGTCTTTGCTAAGTCACGGATTTACACTACAAAATCTCGAATCCACCTGTTGTTAAAATCTTTAACTTTTCATTACTCGAATAATAAGCAGTCATTAACTTATTGTTTAAATTACAAATTTACCCACTGCTAAAATTAATCCATTACAATTAAAGACCTGTTGAAATAGTAAAATCACTCAATTTTCAAATCACTAACCCACTTTTAAAATCACTTACGCTAGTGATGTGCTATTTATATGATAGCCCAATTTTTTTCGCGTACAGCACGTACGTACAGTACATATAGTATAGTATATTTAATGAAATGATCATTTCAATAAGTCACGTGACCCCTCGCTTCGAAGCGGCCAATTAAATTGCAGGTAATTTTATCTGTGATTCTATTGGCTGATTCGAAGCGCGTAGGTCACATGGACTTGAAATGGCCAAATCTCCTCCGATTGGCCTTCATAGTAGTTCGTGCTACATGACATGAACAAAGCCACGTGATGGGTCACTTTTACCGGGTCAGAATAGAATTTCCCTTAATTTTGATTGGCTAATTAGCATATAAAACAGACTACATATAAAATGATCGACAAAATTCTCGCGTACAGTACGTACAGTACGTATACTAAGAAATTTGAAAATTTTTTGAGGTGCTTTGTTCAGTTTTTTTTTATATATTTAGGCTAGAATTTAGGGTTAGTGTTTATAATAAAAGAGTATAGGTGAATATTAGTATGATTTAACAGCAGAGACCATCAATGTTACACATATATTAAAACTGGTGAGGGATTATATCCATCACAATTGAATCCAACATAAATAATTTAATTTGCGATTGATCACAGGCGAGAGGGATTCATTTTGGATCGGGCACTGTCCCTGCTGTAGTATGATTTATATTTTCAAATTAAGGCCCCGACATTTATTAATCCAAATAAAGCTTTCCGTTCCTGGTTTAGTGCGGCTACGTCGCATAACTCCCTAATTTGCCCGTAAACTGTTATATACAAGTTCCCCCATATATCAGATCTCCCTCATTTTTTACTAATTATTTTATTTTTTTTACTAATTAATTTTTTTTATGAGAAGATCCTTAAATGCCAGAGAATTTGCAAACTTTTACTCCGAAATTAAACAGAACTTTTTTTAAATAAGCTAGAAAGTAAAAATTCTCTAAATTTTACATATAAAATTTTGGTGTGTCAATCATTTGATCCATAATTATGATATGTATAAAGAATTTACAATTAAATATAGATACGTATCTATAGTTGTTAGGCGAAACTATAGTTGCAACTAATCGATTTTTCCTATCATGTACTAAATTTGTTGATTGACCAATCAACTAAAGTAGAGTTCCAGCCATTTATCCATCGGATATCCAATATCCGAATATATTTGGATATCTTGTTACTATTGATATCCGGATAATTATCCGGATATCTGTTGGATTATCCGGATTGGAACTCTAAAGAAATCAACACGAATATCTCAGAATATAGTTACAATCCGTCATCCATTTATCCATGAGAGTGAAAACCCGTAACCAATCATAATAAAAAATTAAATGTATTTCCGGATTTTCACTCTCACGCACTCATATCTATATTCCATTTATTATTGATAAAATGAGTGCGTGAGAGTGATTGGCTACGGATTTTCACTCACATGCACTCAAATGGATAACTCGATTAGTTGCTTCAAAATTTTCCAAATCGATTAATTGGAAAGTTGTCAACTAGTTGGTTTTTCAACTAACGATTTGGATCACTAGGCGATGTTAATCATCGCACAGCCACAAATAGTAACATGTGAATTCACTCATGTTAATATCACTAATTTTATTGACATGTGGCTATGTGATGATTAGCATCACATAGTTTCGCCTAACAACTATATACGTATCACATCACAGAAAATCATTTCACAGACAATTAATTCACAGATAGTTCGCTTTACAGACAGTTCATTTGCAGACATTAATATCTAAACTAATCTAAATTTCTAATTATTGTGAGATTCAACGATTGGATTTAGGTGATTCTAGGCTTGTTAGAATCGTCTTATCAAGGCGATCATTTTGATAATTAAATAATCCAAAACGGACCACTGAATCGGGAGTTATGCTCTTGTAAAGATTGTCCATATATGAACTGTTTGCAAAATGAGTTGTCCATTATTGAACTGTGTAAATTAATTGTCTTTAAAATAAACCCATTTATGAATTGATTGTCTATGTAATAAGGTATCTATGAAAATAATTTCTGTAAAGTGATACGTACCCACTAATTATCATACGTTAAACATTTAAAAATCGGTATAAAAAATGGCCTCACCTTAAATTAAAAAAAAAAAAAAAACGTTATAAAATTCTAAAAAATCGCAAATAGATAAATCAATCTAAAATTTCGAAAAAGCAAAACTACTCACTTGATTATTAATTAACGATGTCAAAAAACAAAAAAAAGACAATAAAAATAAAAGAAAAATTGCAAAAAATCCGAGCAATACTACAACCAAAGGCACAGTTGAATGCACGATCAAATATTAATTCTCTTGATGAACTAGATCAAAATCTAAAACTATTGAAATGTGATTTCCCTCTACAGGTACATAATCATGTTTCAATGGAAGAAATATTAAAAACCGAAAAACATTGTTATGAATGGGCGAAGGAGTTTGATTTGATTACCGCCAAGACCGCAGATAAAGAATTTAAAGGAAGTAAATTTGGATCCTTTATTTGCTACACATTTCCAACTGCATCCTTCGAGAGACGTTGTCTTGCCATCGATTTCGTTAATTGGTCTTTTTTTGTTGATGATTTGGTCGATAGTAAGAAATATCTAAGAAACCCTAGAAAAATAAAAAAAGAACTTGACAAATTCTTAACTATTTTAGATAATAAACCACAAGGTGTTTTAAAAAGCTCACTTGCTATTGCACTATGGAATTTATGGTCTAAACTGTAAGAAATAACTAATGAAGAATGGCAACTAAATTTTCGTAATTCCGTTTCACTTTATTTTGATGCATGCTATTTAAATGCACTTAATAAATGTTCGCAAGATCTTCCTAAATCTGTAGAAGAATATCTCAAAATTAGAAGGAACTCAGGAGGAGTATTACCTGTTTTTGACTTTATCGAACCTCTACTCGGAATCAAAATTTTGTGCAATAATCTAGATTTGAAAATTTTTATAAATCATTGCATTGATCATATATGCTTCATTAATGACCTTTACTCGATTAAAAAAGAATTAACGGAAGGTGAAGTTGATAATATTGTTGTAGTTTTACAATATGCAAATCAGTATTCCCTACAAGAAGCTATTGATTACGCAGTGATGTTAACAAATAATCGAATGACTCAAATTAAAGAAGTTTTTGACAACTCATCTCGATTTAGTTTAGAAATGGATGATCACAACACTATTAAATATGTCAATGCATTGATAGGTATAGTGGTTGGTTCTTTTTATTGGCATAAAATTTCGGATAGATATTTGACAAAAAAAACATAGCCAAATGTTTTAAATTAACGTCTGCGTTTGGGTAATAAATCTGTTTTTTTTTAAAGAAAAAGTATTTTTTTAAAAAAATTTTTTGGTTACTATTTTGTAATTTTATAAGTTCAAATTAATTTAATAAATTTTAAATTTTAGTTTAATTGAGTTAGTAGTTATTAAAATATAAATTCTAAAATTTATTATCTTTTTTTTTTTTTTTTTTTTTTTTTTTTAAATTAAAATTTATTATCAATTTGATATGTTATAATATATTAACTTTGAATCTAAAAAGGTTAAAATTGGTATATCAAATTCTAAACAAAACATATAATAATAAAAAAAACAATTTTAAATATAATGTATCAATTTTGATCTTGAAAAGATCCAAATTAATGTATAACAAAACATCTAATAATAAAATAAAAATACTTTAAATATAATATACTATATTTGCTTAGAAAAATTCAAATTAGTGTATAAATTCAATATAAAATATCTAATATTAAAAAAAAGAAATATTATATATATATTTTTTTTAATATTAACGGTGAGGCCATGCCTCTATCTTTATTAAAACTCAATTAAACTTTTTACAAGTAGAATATACAAAAAAAATTTATATTTGAATTCTATATCTATAAGATATTAAAATTAGAGGCTCAGACAAGTTATCTGTGACTTAAACCTAAAATATTATATTTATAATACTCATATTATATAACACTTATATAGTTTTAATTAGAGTTAGAGTTCAGCTTTAAGATAAATTAATGTTTTTTAATTATACAATATATATTAAATATAAAGTTTCAATAGGTCTTGATTTTAGTTTTTGTAAAATTTTTTGAGGTTTTGAATATTTTTACTTAAAGTACCCAATTTTATTTACTTAGTACATTTTTGAGATATTATATAAAATATTATATAACATAATGTTATAAATATAATTTTTTTAAAAAAAATACTTTAAATCAAATATACTAGTTTTGGTTTTGAAGATATTCAAATTGTTATATTAAATTCAAAATAAATATCTAATAATAGAAAAGATTAACAACAATTTTTTTTTATAATTTATAAAATTTATAATACTTTATAAATAATAATTATAAATCTGATTTATTTAATACAAAAAGCATAAGTTATATATTATAATTAGAGCTCTGCAAATGCTCATGCTGAGCAAATTGGCACTATGCCAGGCACTAGTACCTCATGCCATGCCCATATCTATAGGCTCAAAAGTGCCAGGAATTATTATAAACATGGGCACAAATGCTAGGCATTTTTATAATCATGAGCACAAATGCCAAGTACTTTATAGGCATAGGCACAATATGCTAGGCAAAAAGATGCCAAAAAGTGCCAGGCACAAGTGCCAAATAGTACTAAACATATAATTAATTAATAAATAAAAAATTTTTGTGCTCATGCTTATGCCAAGTTTTTGTGCTTGTACCCATGCCTATGCCAAATTTTTGTGCCTATGTTCATGCCTATACCATATTTTTATATTAGCATTCATGCCCATGTCAAAGCTTCATGTTCATGCCCATGCCTGAATTTTTGTTGAGCATAGGCACAAGTCCAGGTTGCAGACCTCTAATTATAATAATAATAATAATAATAGTAATAATATAACAAAATAAAACTTACAAAGAAATAGTTATATTATTGATACATTTTTTATTTAAATAGTAATTAACTCTAATTTAGTATAAATTTGCATTAAAAAGTTAATATTTTTGCAGGATTGGACCTTATAGCTTAACAATAAAGCTGTTAATTCTTTATAGACAAGGTCAACAGTTTAAGCTAAACTAGAGACAAAAATCTTAGAATTTTAACACTGTAATCTAAAAATAGAAGCTAAATTAAATGTGATACTTTGTAAAAAGTTTTAAAATAACACAGATCAAAAATAAAAATATAATTTAAATATCAACAAACAATCATCTAAATGATATTAGACTAATAGCTTGTTGGCTGCTATAATATTAAAGAATGTAAAAATAAACCAATATATATAAGATAGTAAAAATATTTATTATATCTCAAATAATAAACATTAAAAATTATCAAAATATCATCTAAAAAATAATAATATTATAAAGAAAATATAAGTCAATAATATAATAATTGTATAATTATATTATAAAGATTTGATAAATTATAAGAAGATATATTATTAGCTTACTACTAAAATTTTTTTGATGATTTATGAATGATATATATCATATTATAAAAAACATAAAAAAAATTGTATATGTTAACTAAAATATTCAAACTAATAATTTTATAGATAATTAACTAATATATTATTAAATGTATATAATTTAATAATGTAATATAATGCTGATAATTTAAAGATAATCATATAATTTGTTATATTTTAAATAATATTCTAAACATAATACTAAAATATCATCAAATAAATAAAAATATTATTAAGAAGATATTTACTGATATTTTAATAATTAGGTAAATTATTAAAAGATATACTATTGGCTTGCAAATAAATTTTTTTTTTTTTTTTTTTTTTATTCTTTGACAGTCTTGTCAGAGCTCAGATACAAAATTTTACTATTTGAAATATTAACTATTTCTAGTAATCTACATTTTGAAATTGCAAGCCTGACATTATCTAAGTACAGAAACTGCACTCAAATGTGACTTGTCGTACCAGTTTATGCCTAAACTGGGAGACCTTGTTAGCTCTGTCAAAAACTGATCTAGAATAGATTTGTTCCATTCTGCATTAGCTCATCTACCCCTTCATTAAATATCTGAAAACATTCTGCTTCTCTCTTTTTATCTTTAACAGCTTTTGTCTTACTTATTGTACTTCTCTTGTTGTCTCTTCTACTTCTGATTCTTTTTGAACTATAGCCTTCTTTTTCATCTCCCTTTATCCTGTGTTGCTTCACCTTAGAGGTTATTCCATTTTCATCTTCCCATTTGGTTACTGTTTTGCATCTTCTTCACTATATTTCTTCTTTAAACATTTCTTTAACAATCTTGATATATAGTTTCACAAAATGTTTTGTACCTCTTCGTGACACTTGCTTTGCATATAATTCCTTAAACATACTTTCCATTGCTAAGCCACATATATATGACTCATGGTGCTTAACCTTATCTGCTGAAGTTCTTCCAACAAGTATTTCACTTAACTTGAGTTTTGTAATCTTGCTTTTATTTACTTTATAAAGCTTTTTCTATACTAACCAGCATGTCAGCTCTTCAATATTGTTCCAATACCCACTGTACTCTTCATATCTAAGCAAATGTATTGATGTTTCTTGTTCCTTATAGCATTCTTTACATTCATCTGTCTCATATATGTCTAGTATTCTTTTTTTTAGTACCTCAAGAACTGGTAAACTATTGCTTATACACTTAACTCTAAATGCTATCTTCTTACTCGCCTCTAGTAATTTATATTTAACTCTATTTAAACTTCTGTTTTCCTTCCACAATGCTTTTCAATCTCTTTGACCTTCAGCATTCGGTTCAAGTTCTCTAACTGCCTTTGAGCATTGCCATTCAGCACCATTAATCATGTTCGTTAATGTCTTCATAAATTTTCTGGTAGGTATTTCTACTACTGAGTCTTTCCAATATAGCGTACATGGAAATTGGCAATTTCTTTTAAGTTTTAGATCTGAGCATTCACCTAACAAAGTGCCTTCTTTCACAAGTTTGTCAGCTCTTTTATTTCATACTACTCCACTATGTGCTTTAATCTTGATCAGCACTAATTCAATATTTTTTGACCTGCATATATTTTAGATCTTCATTACTAATTTGAAGTTTTTGGTTTTGCTCTATGTCCTAATGTTAAACATAGGCTTCTCTCTTTCCAGACTTGCAATTGCTACTGAACTATCTAATTTAATCACTACTATACTGTTATTAGCTACAACTAAAACTATCATCATTACTGCTACTAACTCTGCCTTTGTTGATGATGGCCATTTCTCTAATCTAACTTTTTCCTCCATTATAACCTTCTTTTCATCATTACTAACTTGCACCCAACCTGCATCCATTTTGCATTCTTTTTCTTCTTTTACTAATAACCCATCTGTATAAAACTTGTATTTTATATGTTTATCCATAATGTTCTTTTCCAACTGCTCTAACAGCATACTCTCTAAATTGCTGTTTAGGCCTTGTATTTTCAATAAATTAATTTCATAACTATATACTATTATTTTCCTACTTATGGCTCTTTTATTACTTATATTGTCTTTCTCAATTTGACATCTATTGTACCCTTTTAGTTCTTCAAGCAAAACTGGTATCTTTTGCCCATACATCTGTCTTACTCCTGGTAATACTCCTACTATTGCACTCTTCTTAACCTAACGTTAACACCTGTGTGTACTACTACTGCTACTCAGATTACATTTATCACATTCTACGAGTATTGAGTAGCTTGTTCCTTCAACTTGTGATATGCTTCAATAATTTATTAGTATGTTTTTCTTTTCCTTTTTGACTACTTTGCCTACTATTAGTTCAGTGTTCTCTTTGTTTACTAACACCTATTCTTGTTTTCTTTTATCTTGTAATAACTTCTTGACCTCAATTTTCATTGCTATGTGTTTATTTCTTGTATTTAAACTCAGGATGGACTGTTCTGTTTGCTTGGTCTCTCACTATCTTCTGTTCAATTTCAACAAACTATTTTGCTTTTTGGCCTTTTTATATACTTGTGCACAATGCTCTAAATTTCTTCCATATGATCATTCTTTTGCCTTCTTGATCTATTAACTACTGTGCAAAAAACAATCTACTCTGCATTAGCTTTTTACAAGCTATTTTAAATGTCTCATTCTTCAACAAGCTTTGTACAGTTTTACCTGTACCAAAAACTTGCCAAAGGACTCCTTCTGCCTTTATCTTTAAACCTATTTCACTTGCTTATAGCAATATCAGACATGC